CCTTCAGCCCTGAAGTCCCCTGAATTGCAGCAATTTTTCAGTCGTGAAGGAAAGGGCCATGGACAGTGAAATAATTGCAAAGCTTACAAATGCTTGTTGGGGTAAATGCATCACTGATATTCCTAGAAGCAAGTTCAACTTCATTTGATCTAATTATTTAACCATCTGTCCACAATGTGATATGAAAATGAGCTTGATCAATGTCAAGACACAAGAGAGTACAATGATCACATTTTTACTCGAAACTCAAGTGTCACGGTGTACAATAAAATTATGCTATGGTCGTCCTGGCTCTTCATGCTTCTATATAGTAGAAATAAGTAGTAATAGTAATTCAAAATTTCTGCTAAAGTTAAACAAACAGAATAACTGAGTTATTTTTATAAAAATTTCAATAAAATCTGTAGATGAAGGAAGTAGATCCTAAAGCACTAAAATTTGTATTTTCGCTCACCTCTCTTTTTAAAACTTTGAAAGAAAATACTTAAAATAACTACTGTAATAAGTTGCATGTTACATGACTTAATTTAGTCTTTCTTGTCCTCGATTCATTTAATTAAGTTTGATGTGAATCTATGATTACATGCTAGTCTGGGAAATAAATTAAGCTTAAAAATGATGTATTTGATATGAGGAAAGTCATTTTGTGTCCATTTCCTATGGATACACTAAAGATCATAACTGTCTAAATATTTTCAATACATGAATTGTTGTAGATGTTGTTTCACATTCATTTCATGCAAGCTATTAAGATCAAGATTTGCCTCAATGGCAGAAACAACACCAAATACCACTACAGATTAATAAAATCCGAAAGACAATGATCTCACCCGTGCTTTTTCATAATGAATTGATCAACTTCACCATAGTAATTCTTAGGACATTAATTAGACACCAAAAAACAATTAATAATCCTGAAATGAAAACCCACAAATTTCAAGTTTTCATATCACAATTCAATCTTTAACTCAACTGTACTTCATACATAATGATCCCCACAAGAAGATTTTTATAAAATAAATCGATAGATTGGGGGTTCGATTCATACCTCATACCGACAACCTCATATTCTTCCATCTTCTGTGGCGCAACCAGAGTTTCAAAATATGACAAACCAAATTAGTGCAAGGTTTAACACCTTTTCTATATATATAACAAAAAAAATTATATGTTAAGTCTTTTTTTTTAGTTGTATGTGAAACCATTTGATTTGTAAGTTTGCCAATCTTGGTAGTTCCAAGTAAACAAAAATTGCAAAAAAATTCGAAGCACATATGCAATGTCTAGAGTGCAATTAAGGCTTCCAAGGAACCAAGCATCCATCACAACGTTTGTAATACTACAAGTTCAGATTACCATCGAGTAAATCAAAAGATAAAAAATTAGGTGTTTCTAGCATGGTCATGCCACTACAATAAAAATAGCTTTTAGTGGCTAAAAACATCTTATATATTGTCGATAAATGTATATTTATTGTGCGGCTAGAAATTTCACAACAAATTTTGTGATTATTTATCATGGTTGATTAAACAATCTCTTGATAAATAATCATGAAATTTTTTGATGATTTTGGGATGTCTAACAATTTCTTAGTCAACTGTGATAAATGCCAGGACACAATTTTTTGAACAAGTGAAACGTTTTCTTCTCTTTGTTACAATAACAAACCTCTGAAAGCCATTGCATTTTCTTTAGTAGAAACTTCAAGGTTTGAAAAGCTTACAAAACCCCACTTCAGACCACACCTTCAAAAGTGTCATTAGGCGCGCAGCCAACGATACTAACATTCTTGAGATCTGGAAAACATGATGTTTGGAATCCAACTTGGAAAATTGATGTTATGTACTTCAGCGAAATAGCTTAGCTCAAGCCTGGCAGGGGCTCGTAAAACTCAGATTTGATGTGTATGTTGAGTGACTCTAAAAGAGGCGAGGTTTGCAAAGGCTGGCTATTCCATACAGATTATACTATGTTACATGCATTTATAGAGTTAGGCATTTGCATCACTTTGTCAAGTCTCATCATGAACAAACTAATTAGCCTCGTGTTAGTACACTTATACTATTATTCGGTTTTTAAAAGAACACTAAGTGCATCTAATATAAACACTAATAATATGCGTAGCTAAATAAGTGTATTGTATATCAGTAGAAACTTAACTGAGAAGCTTCGTGTCTATAGGCATTTTGAGACTCTAATGTGGAACCTCTGAAAACGAAACTAAGAAGCTTCTTGTCGATATGCATTTCGAGACTCTAATGTGCAACCTCTCAAAGCTGAAAATTGATTTGGTGAGGTCCAGGGGCGGGTCTACAGCTTTGCAAAAAAAGCAATTGCCTTGGGCCCCAAAATTTAAAGGCCTCATATAGATATACCCAAATAAGGAAAGGATGAAATTAGGGGGAGAAGAGTGAAATTAGGGCTTTAAGTCGTCTATGTGGAGGTGGAGTGTGTTTTTGGCGTGCACATGTGGAGTCCATGTGGCATTTTAGCACACACATGGATGTTTTTGTAAAACAGAAGGGCAAGTGTGATCCAATAGTTAGATGGAAAGGGCATTTTTGAGCCAAATATAGTTTAAGGGTATATTTAAGCTATTTCGAATAGTTTAAGGGTAGTTTTGACCCTTTCCATAGTCGTCTATGTGGAGGTGGGGTCTGTTTGGCATGCACATGTGGCGTCCATGTGGCATTTTAACACACACGTGGATACTTCCGTTAACTAGAAGGGTAGGTGTGGCCCAATAGTTTGACGGGAAGGGTATTTTTTGAGCCGAAATATAGTTTAAGGGTATATTTAAGCTATTTCAGATAGTTTAAGGGTAGCTTTAACCCTTTTCTGAAATGTTAGGGTTTAAATATAAGATAATTAATCATTTTCGATTTAAAAAAATCTTACTGTGTAAACCTTATTATTTTTATATTAGAATCACAATAGTTACTGTTTCTTTAACTAAATAGTTTAAATTAAAGTATTTATTTCAACAAAATTTAATAAAATAATGAATATTTATTATTTAAAAAATAATTTAAAACAAAATAGTATTTCAACAAAATCTAATATAATAATTTATGAGTATCTTCTTATTTATTTTTAAAAATAGTTTTAAAAAAATGGCGTTTCAACAAAATTTAACAAAATAATTAAATGGACATCTTATTAATTTTTTTTTTTAAAAATAAATAGTTGAAGATAAAAATTGTATTTCAACAAAATTTAATGAAAAAAGCATTTAAATTGATTGAGTGACTTTCGAAATAAATATTCATAGTTGACTGATTTTGAGGTTGTAAAAGAAAGTTGAGTGACTTTCTGATAAAAAGATCTATAAGTTGAGTGACTTTCACTAACAAAAAATCATGGTTGAATGATTTTGATTTTATAAATGAAAGTTCAGTGATTTTCTGTGAAAATCAATATTAATTGAGTGACCATCTGAAATTTTAACTCTTCTAATCTTGGACTTAATCATGTTTTCATAAACTAAATTTGAAAACTACCAAAAAAAGTGTTAAAGCAGAATTAATATATAATTTTTCCACATTTTTTTAAAGAAAATAAATCAAATTCAAATCTTAAATACAAGAAAAACCTTATTAAGGAACGCTTCTCCCGTTATACATGAATCTTATTGTGGAAACACCAATGAGTAGACAAAAGATTTATTATTGCTTCATCAAATATATGAATAAATATTCTTTTCGACTATCTTTATTTGTCAACTGTATTATTTTGGATATTCAATAATGCTTGTTCAGTTTATATAATCAATAAATAATTTATCATGTGTACCTATTTTACTTTTACTAATTAAATACTATTTATTTTTCAATATTTAGATAACTTATTAATAAGGATGGTTTGATAAAATTATCTCTTGGTTAATTCCTATGTCAAATTAATTATGAAAGAGTATTGTTTGGACAAAAAAAGCAACATATCTTTCCTTGCTTTGACTTTTATAACCCAAAGAAATATATTAAAGTTATTATTGTATCTGTTTGGTAATCAGACAAATCTATTTCTTTACTTGCTTTGGATACTGAAGTTGATAGCTTCGAATATGTTATACTGAATCTATCATAAATAGTTCAAAAAACATTTTATTTAATTTTACTTATTTATTAAAATTAAAAATATTTTTTACGGTTTTTAATCTAAAAATACCTTTTATATATAACAGATATAACAATTCAGAAGTTACTTAATTAGATAAATGACTTTATCTTATTAATCCAAATAAATTTTGGAGAAACTATCTAATAAAATTAATATTTCTACTATATTTACTTATACTTTCTATAGTTTGAAATAATTATATTTTATTTTTCTAACTAATAATTTTATACCAGAGTTTAAGTCATATACACCTTGAGACATATTGTTTTTTGCTACTAGATTCACTGAAATAGGGAGAGGGAGGCGAGCGAGAACAGAAGTGATCAGGCGAACGAGATTTGTCTATGTATCCTAGACACATGCAAATCACACTAGATATATGATTCTAGTGTGATTCACATGTATCTGGAATACTAGATAGGTGAGCGAGATAGGAGAGTGAAAAACGAAAAGGGAGATCAGATGCAAGCGAGATTTTTCTATGTATCCTAGTTAGATACATGTGAATCAATTTGGATAGAATGTATTTTGAACAAATTAATAATCCTAATTTCGACCCATAATTCCGAAATATATGTATCTTGACATATCTGAACACACCAAAATATGATCAGATTCATAATATTACAACATATCTAAATAATTAGCTCATGATTGCATATATATATATATATATATATTATAAGTATTGATACAAGTGCATGAAAAATGAAATTTATGTGACTTTTCTTGAGAAATGTAGTTATACAAGTCGTAAGGGACAAGATTAAGATGTTATACCATCTTTGATTAAAAAAAGCCTCTCCCTCCCCCCTTCTAGTCTATATATATTGTTGAATAATCATTGTAAAGGATATCAACACTTGTCCACTACAATTTTCTTATAGTGTCACTATATCTTTTTCTTTTCAAATCTTTAGTAAAATGGGTCTAAAGTCTGTGTTGTGTGGCAAGGTAGAAATGAAGGCTAATAAAGATGTGTTTCATGATATTTTTACAAATAAACCACACCATGTCTCTACTATGTCCCCTTTGCATATACAAGGATTTGAACTTCTTGAAGGTGACATTGGAATTGTTGGATCCAAAATTTGTTGGAACTATACCCTTGGTAAGTTAAATATTTATGTCCTAATAAGCCCCACCCCACCCTTGCCCTCATTCCATCCTCATAATTTTGTTTTAGATATATATATAGATGTTTTTAAAATAATATTTTTTTTACTTTCATATCGATCACAACAAATAAATAAGAAATCATTATCAAAACGGAGTAGCGGGTGCAGTCTATAAAAGTGCAATGGTTTTGATATATTTATCATCCCAGCCCACTTGAACAATTTGGTTCTTTTTATAAACTTGATATCGATAAATTTACGAATCTATAATTAATTTCGGCCAATTAAACTTTCTCAAACACTCTTCGCTCCTAACTCATTCACACTTTTGATATTGACTAAAAATGTCATCCGGCTCCTCATCTAAGTTCAACAGATAAGAGAATGCCTTTTTTCTGAAAGTTTCTACGATAGTTTTTTCAACTATTTTAGCGATTATGATTGAGATAAATCTCTTTAGATGGTCTTTTAACATGTCAACTCTATGTTGTTTCTCATTTCTAACTCTCTTTTTTTGTAAGGTAGATGGGGAAAAGAAGATCTCCAAACAAATACTTGAAACTATAGATCATGAAAAAAAGGTGCTCACACTCAAAGAATTTGAAGGAGATGTAATAGATAAATATGATAGTTTTAAAGCAACTCTTCATATCGAAACAAAAGACGAAATCGATTTGGTTAGCTGGACATTGGAGTATGAAAGGCCAAATGAGAATGTCCCTGAACTCATAAATGTGTTGAACTTCGTTGTTGGTATGACAAAAGCTATTGATGATCACCATGCCAATTGATGAATTGATAAGATCTATGTTGCTCGTACTCTTTAAAAATGTCTTCAGGTTCGTATTGAATCCTTTAAAAATAGTGCATTTTTGAAGGATCTGATACAAGTGTGGTAACATTTTTGAATAGTCTGAGCAACTCACTACTAAAAAAACAGTGAATACCGACCTATAAA